GTTGGTGGGGTATTGCTTGTGAATAATTTCATAGATGTCACTGGGGTAAACTTTTTTGTTGTCGGTAATTAGTTTGTTGTGATCGGTACTGATAATTTTGAGGAGCTTTTTTATTTTGCTGTAATATTTGTTCATCTTGACCTGGAAAGGGAAGTTTTCTTTTGTCTGAGTGAGCTCCCTGGTTATCGGGCCTAAAGTACAGGTAACCCCCGTATAACACGGTAGTTACGTTCCAAAAAATTGCCGTGTTGTGCGAATCCGTGTTATACAAAACAAAGAACTAATACGAAAAGGAGGGTTAGGTTCCAAAAATTAAAAAACATGCTAGTATATTTTCATAATTAAGATAAATATCTTCATTAAAATTTTTTTAAGTGATACATATTAATATAAATTAAACAATATTTTCTTCGTCATCACTAAAAACACTATTAATTAACCGAGAGCGTTTTCTTTTTGGCAAGTTATCCTTATCCTATGAGCATTTTTCTGCATTATCTTCAGATCCATGCTTTACCTTTTGCAAAATGTATGTAATTTTAGATTTCTTGCTTCTAGTTAAAAGGCTTTTATAAATTTCCTTATATGGTGCTAAGCACTTATGAAGAATAAAGCAAGTATGGAATAAGGGAAAAACATTCGGCAACATAGAAGCAGAAGCGTTGCAATCTGGCAATATTGAAACAATTTTTGTGAAGGACCATGAGTATGGAGACGAGAAAAGAAAATTTACACACTGAAGTACTAATAGTTTACGAAAATAATAATTTTCGTGAACTATTATTAGTTAAGTATGTAAAAATTTATTACATTTCCTGTTGTACGAGGGTTTCACCCAATTCTCGAACCGTGCCAGAGTGAATCCGTGCTATAAAAGTACCGTGTTATACGGGGGATGGTACCAATTTTCGAACCGTGTTAGAGCGAATCCGTGCTATAGAAGTGCCGTGTTATACGGGGGTTACCTGTATATTGGAATAAGTACCAAAGTGGATGGTTCCTGCTTCTAAGTGTGTTGATTATGTGTGATATTTGGATAGCCGTTTCAAAGCCTTTTAAGTGCCAAATATTCCAATCTCCGTTGTTAATGTTGTTTTTCATGATATTTCTGTTGATTGGCTCAAAGGGGCTGTTCCATATGTAGTTGAAGAGTGGTTTATCAAGCTCATTATTTTCTTTTGAATTTATATTGGTGGTATACATATTATAAAATTATTCTTGGAATGATTACTTTATTGATAATGGTTGTTCTTTCTGGGAGGTATAACCATTCTGCTCTCCAGTCTTGGATGGCTTCTTTGACTTTTCTTATCATTTCGTTGATGTTTCTTTCCCTAGAGTCTTTAACTATCCAGACTCCTAGCATTTTAAGGTTTTCGGTATTATTTATTTCGGTTTGTTGACAGCTTATGTTACCTATTATGTCAATAATTTTTGATTTTTCAATGTTAATGACTATACCAGTTAGCTTACTAAAGTTGTTAACTTTGTTTTTTATTTTGCTGAGGCTATATTCATTCACGACAAAGATATTGATGTCATCGGCATGTGATGTAAACTTAACTTTCTTCTTTAGGCCTGGTATGTGGATTGCTTCTATCTGTTCGTTGTTGGTGATGTTTTTTAGGAGTATATCAATGTATGTGGCAAAAAGGATCACTGAACTTGGGCATCCCTGCCTGACCTCTGCATAGCACTTGATGTCACTGGAGTAATTGTTGTTGATGTTGATTTTGGTACATGTGTTGTTATACAGTTTTTTGACAGTGATGACTTCCTGATTGTTGAGGCATAGGGTGTCAAGAAATTTCCATAACATGGTACGATTGACAGTGTCAAAGGCTTTTTTAACGTCAATCGACAGGATTGACAGCTGCTTTTTTTGATCAGTGTATATATTTTTAACGTAATTCATGAAGGTGATGTTGTCCTGGATAGAGCGACCTTTGACTCCGGCACTCTGAGTGATTGAGATGTGGTCTTTGAAGCAGCTTTCCAGCCTTTTAGAGAGAATGGTTCTATAGATTTTGTAATCAGCATTTAGCAGTGTTATCGGCCTGTAGTTGCCGACACTTCCCTCTTTACTATCAGTTTTCTTCAGTAGGATCATTTTTCCTACACAGAAAGAATGGTGAAAAGTGTCCATGTTGTATAACTTGTGGAGGATATCAATGATGGGGATGTTAAAATATTTGTATAATTCAGAACTGATGTCTTGTCCTGGTGCTTTTATGTTATGTATGGATTGGATGGCGTCTTGGATCTCTTTTTTCGTGATTTCTTTATTTATGATGTCGTCTTTCTTGTCTTTTATTTGCTTAATGTCTTTTATGTTACTGTCCCAGTACTGATTGTCATGGTTTGGTTCTTTAAACAAATTTGTATAGAATTCTTGGAAAATTTTTATCATTTCTTCATCATCGGTGATTTCTCTGGCATTGTATGCTTTTGTCTATTTGCAGGGTTGTTTTTTTCTTAACAGATAATATAATAGTTTTACAAAGGTGTAGCACTGGCAGTAGGGCTAAAGGTGTTTAGCCATAACACATGGGTTGCAGGGAGGGAGATATACNGATACATTAATAACAGATAATATAATAGTTTTACAAAGGTGTAGCACTGGCAGTAGGGCTAAAGGTGTTTAGCCATAACACATGGGTTGCAGGGAGGGAGATATACTAGCAGTGGTTACATAGACAAGGCAGAGAGAGGACACCAAGGTAGCAGGCAAGTATATTGATAACATCAGTTTGGAATTTTTCATTGGAGAGGATATCGTTGGAGAGTTTAACTTTAGTATGTCTTTTTTTAGGAGTATCAATTTCAATTTGTATGTTAAGCATTTTGTGGTCAGTTACTTTTTTGCTATTGTTCTTTAGGGTCCAGGTTTGAATGTCTTTGATGCTGTTTATTTTATTACTTATATATATTCTGTCTAATTTTTCACATACACTTCTTCCTTCCCATGTGTAGCCAGGGTGATTTGAATAGCTGTGTCTGTGTGCGTCTTTAAGATCATAGTTTTTTATAATATCATTTAGAATTTTCCTTGACCCGTCTGGAAAGATTGGGCCATTCTTGTCAATTGCATCTGTAACACAGTTGAAATCTCCAGCTATTATAATTTGCCTTCCTCCTATAAAATTGTTTGGCAGTGTATTAAAGAGGTCCTTCCTGTATGTGACTTGAGGAGGAGCATACATATTTATTATTCTCATCAGATTATTCTTTACTTCTATGTCTACTGCTAGTAGTCTACCATTTGAGTCAGTTTTAAAGTCATTGACTTTTATGTTTTTACTTATCATTGTGATGACTCCTGAGCTCCTTCTAGTCGCAAAGGCTAAGTAGATGTTGTATTGAGGGAACACTTTCCTAAGGTTTCTAAGATCCCAGAAGTCATACATGTTTGTATCCTGTATACATCGAATATCCGTTTTATTTGTACTTAGGAGGTTAAGGATATATATCTGCTTAATTTTGTTTCTAAAACCAGTGATGTTAATAGTTTTCAAGTTAATAATCTTAGATGCGAATTTATTGGTTGTTTGTTTGCCCTATTATTCTTTCTTTTTCTAGTTCCTTTTTTTTCTACTTTTGTGATCACTTTCTCCACTTTTTCTATGATTTCTTTGCCAGTTAGGCTGGCATCGAGGCTTATTGACAATATTTCCTCTCTAACTAGGGCTGCATTATTTTCGTCTTCTATTCTTTCTTCAATCTTATTTTGGTTGGAGTCTATTGTTTCTATTATTTCTTTATTTTTTGTTTCAACTATTTCTTTATTTTTTGTTTTAACTATTTCTTTATTTTCTATTTCTATAAAATCTATTTCATCATTTTTTTTTATCTATTTTTTCTTTAACGCATCCTTTCTCATTTTCGCTAGTTATTTTGTATTCTTTTTCTTTAGCATTACTTTGGGGCTCCTCAATTGTGTTGTTATTGTAATTTTTATTCTCTGTTATTATTTCTTTTTTGTTCTGTTTTTGTGTTTTCTGCCTTTCTAAATTTTTTCCCCCCTCTTTTGTTTGTTTGTCTCTACCTCCGTGTTTACATATTTCTATGTAAGTTAGTTTGGGGCATTGCTCATCCCTGTTGTGCTCCTGTTTACAGTTGTAGCATAAAGGACACTCCTTGACAAGATGGTTTGGGCTTTTGCAGCGATGGCATAATTTAATTGTGCAGTCTTTGATTTCATGTTGGGGGCTGCCACACCGCCAACATTGTTTCTTTTTACCTGCATAATGTAGTTCTACTTTATCATCAAGTACCTCTATATAGTTAGGTAATAATTTCCTAGTTTTAAGAATTACTCTATACATCCCTGTCTTAATTTTTCTATCCTTGTAAGTAATAGTGTTGACTAGCACTTTCAAAACATTACCATAATGCAATAAAGCACCCCTCACTATATCTTTATCTGCTTCGCTCGGCACATAACGTAATGTCACGGTAATTAAATCTTCGTCTAGGCTCTCACATAAGTAATAAAAGTCTCTTACCTTTATGTTGTGTCCCTTTAACTTATCTTTTGCTTTTAGGGTGGTGAGTCCTACTTCAACAATGTTTGGATATTTAAAACAAACTTGTTCGACAAAACCATCACTACCGATAATGTTCTCACAAGCATCAATGATTTCAGGGCTAGAAAGTTTTTCATTTGCTGTGAAACGGATTGTTCGTTTTGTCGTGTACTTCAATAAAAGTTCATCAGGATCTATAGGAGGCTCCTCTTCCAGTTGTTTTGCTGGATCATAAAGGTGGTCATCATCAGCAGGGGTAGACGACTGTGAAGGGACTACATCCATTGTATCTTTGGCACTTACGCATTGATGTGGGTCATCCTCCACTAGCTCCATTAACATTAGGAGTCCCTTGGTTGCCTTGGCGTAGTTTACGGGTTGACCAGGATTATTTATCGTCGCTGATGTATTCCGAGCACAGAGCACACAACACAGCACACAGCCAAGAAGTAACCGTAAATCCAGAGAAAAAGACACCGGGGTGTTCAGATGATGCACAGTAGAACACAGAGATCACCAAGAAAAAACCCTGGGGTGAGCAACACAAGTATCCAAAACAGCAAATGACTCCGTTGTAAGGCACCAGAAAAAACATACGAAAAACAGCTTACACTGCCCAAATGGCTGGATCAAATGTGCACAGAAAGTTTAGAGGGGTGCAAGTAAAAAGGCTAAGAGGTAGAGAAGGTTTAAGAACTGTAGTACTCTTACTGGAGGGGGGGCGTAGTCGGGGGTAGCCAAGAAGGTTACCCACCCTGGAGAGGTAAAGTTTTGCTGTTTAGTCAGCGAATACACGTTGTTTTTCAAACGTGCAGGCCGACTTCATGACGAAGTGAGAAGAAGCTCGGAAAGTGAAAATACTAACAAAACTTACCAAAAATAAGAACAGATACTTTTTAATTAAAGTTTATTAAAACCATATCTATAGTTACATGCCAGCACGCAGGCCGGGACTCAAACAGCTTGTTTGACACGTATACATGTTTAGAGTAGTGAGGTTACATGAAAAACATAAACCCAAAAATAAAGAGAATGACAACGCATACGATACATTATTTACAAAGATAGACTGTACATGTATATTTACAGAGGGGAAGTGGGATGATTGCCATTACACAGTAACACACATAATCACATGACGACATTAAAAGATTACTGGTGATAAACCTGCGTTTCAAGTGATGATACATTCCAATGTTAACAATTCGTACAGAGAGTACATTACTAATAGCAAGCTGGTACTAGACAGTTCATGTGAATGAGCGTAACTTGATCAACATAAAGAGCGAGGACTGCACTAGACTGTTAGGTCCACTCATCATTGAGGATAAATTTATTATTAGAATATTTGAAGATTACATTGGAGATACCTTTATACAAAGTATTTAGGTCTTTTTCGTTGAAGGTGTTGTAGTCATTAGCAAGTTTAAGGGAGGCTTCTTCGCGAATTTTGGTGGCAATAAGGGTGGCATTACACCTTTTATTCTCAAAGATGAAAGCACATTTTGCCTTCCAGAGTGTCCTTTTGGTTAAAGCAACCATCCAGTTAATGCAGTAGTGATTTTGTTTCTTGACGGGGAACCTGTTATGATGTTTAATGCAATGCCAAGTAAGTATGGTGTTAAAGATTTTATTTATCCAATTCCAAACCTTATTGGCGACGGGGCATTCGAAGAAGATATGAAATATATTTTCAGTTCTGTTACAACGGGGACAATGAGCACTCCTCATCTGCTGATACGTGTGTAGATAGTCTTTCGACATCACTATGTTGTTCAGGATTCTCCATAATGATAATAATAATAATTATAATAATAATAATAGAAATGGCCAGTATAATATTAAAAAGAATATCAAATTAAATAAAAAATTTGATTACCCTTCAACTGCAGAAAAAGAAGAATGGTTGAAAAAATTAATCATAAATTTAACAGACATAGAAGTGCCGAAGGATTATTTGCGTTTGTTATCATATGGCAGTAATATGAATTTACCTATATTTACAAAAACCATAGAAGTTGTTGCCGAAATAGAAAGTATTATCCAACGAATTCCGGGAAAACAGGAAGACAAAAATCAGTTAAGGAAATATTTAAGTAAAGATCTTCAAAAATATAAAGGAAAAGGTGTGTATAAAAATTATATATTAGATAAAAAAGCAATTCAAACAAATAAAAAAATAAGTAGATTAATTAAGTTCTTTAAAGATAAACAAATTTCTATTATAAAAGCAGATAAATCTTATGCACTTATCATTATTAAAAATTCAGATTTACAACAAAAGAAAAAACAAATAGTAACTACAGATGAATATGAAGTTTTACCTAGTGATCCAACAGAAGATATTAAAAAGAAACTAATTAAATTAATGAAAACATATAGAAAAGAGTTTACAAGCAATGAATTTAAGAAGATCGTCAATTTTAATAATGTACGTATTCCACAACTTAATATTCGACTTAAAACCCACAAGATTGGACAGATTTTTAGACCTTTAGTAGATTTTAAATATTCAGTATTGTATAATTTAGAATATTATATAAAAAATTATTTGCAGTGTATCCCCGACTCTAAATATACTATAAAAAATGCAGATCAATTGATCTCAAGATTAATGCAAGGTCAAAGTAAAGACACTTATAGATTTTTAAGTCTGGATATAAAATCTATGTATCCTTCAATAAATTGGAATTTTATTATGGAAAGTTTAAGTAAATATGATTTACCTTGTTATATCTTAGAATTTATTCAGTTTACTTTTAAAAATAATTACTTTAAAATATCTACAGAATATTATCGCCAAAGAGACGGGATCGCAATGGGATCAGTAATTGGCCCAAAGCTTGCCGATATTTGTATGGCATCAATAGATGAAAAAATCTTCCAGTACCAAGGTATTGTTTTTTATACTAGATATGTGGATGACATATTAGTTTTGTACGACTCAAATAACGTTACAGCTGAAAATATCAAGGATTATGCAAATAGTTTAAATAAGAACATTAAATTTACTTATGAAGAAGAAAAAAATTATGAAATTAATTATTTAGATGTAATAATCACAAGAAAAAATGAAACATTGCTGTTCCGAAAATACGAAAAAATATGTAATAATAATAAGGTGATTAATTACAAGTCATATTCTTCTATAGGAATAAAAAGAAATGTTTTTTTGATGGAATTAAAGAAAATATTTAATAGAACAACTTTAAAAAAATATATTGAAATTGAAACTAAGAATCTTTTTAAAAAATATTTATTGAATGACTATCCACAACAGCTTATACGTAAGTGGTACAATTCGTATTTAAATAATAGATATAATGTTAAAAATAATAAAATAGAAAACTTATATATTAAAATTCCATATATTTTCAAATTTTATGAAAAATATAAAACTTATATTAAAGAATTGTTCTCAGTCAATTTAGTAGGTGAACAAAAAAATAAATTAAATAACAGTATTTGTCTGATTAATAAAGCAAATGAAAAACAATCGAAGAATCCTTTAGAAGTTGCAGAAGTCGTATATGAATTGATGTGTACGTGCACAGAACGGAAAAGCTACGTTGGAGAAACAGGAAGAAAACTGGAAGTGAGGCTAAAGGAGCATGAGGCGGCAATTCGATTGAACAGAACTGAATCCCCGTGGCAACAACACTGCAGTATTAAAAATTGTCTTATTGATCGTAGTAATATTAAAATTTTGTATAAAGAAAAAAATTTTGTAAAAAGACGCATCATAGAACATTACTGTATTAAAGAACATGCAAATTGTATAAATTTAAATACAGGAGCATATGTCGATGCATGCTGGGATAGCTTGATGAACTATAATAGTACTGGCAACTTAACAGTGTAATATCCACTGAAGAGGCTAAAATAGCGAAATATATATGGATAACATAATAAAGTAAGAAATAGTGAAAATAATTCTCTGGTTTTCTCTGTTTTTTTAAACTCTATCGAAGTCGGAATTAAAGAGTGAACGTCACTTGTGGTTCTTAAAGGTTTTTTTTAAACGAAAAAATTTTTAGAATTTATTAATTTTAAAACTTCAATTGATATCCTATCTCACTATGTGGCCAAGGACCAAAGGGATTGGGACGAATGGATCCCTTACGCTCTATTTGCTTATAATACGTCTAGCCATGCATCCACAAATGAAAGTCCCTTTTTCCTTTTATATGGGAGAGACCCAACTTATCCATTT